GTTTTATTTCTGATCATTTGAATATCTGTGGCTTACAGTTAATGGAAACCCGCAAAAAAGAATTTTCAGAACAAGTTAGGTACTAAGAAATTGTGAATTGAGTTATTGAAACAATAATTTAATTTATCGAGTGGCATCTGCAGACATTATTAGACTCACACATTCTGGGCCTAAATTGATTTTAAAAAAAAGTGAGAAAAAAAAAAAACAAGTTTCAGATCTTTACTTCATAATATAAAAAAAATATATATTTTTTTTTTGTCACATAAAAGTATTTTAGGCACACCATGGGAAGCCAGGTGCCAAGGCAGCTTTATGCTACAGTAACAGTACATTAACTAACTGTATCAAGACTCTGTCTGACATCAAAGTAGACAGGCGAAATTACTGAAAAGGAACTTGTATTTGCATGACTTTGGGCTGTTTTGATTATTTGTAAGGGTGCTTAGTTGGAGGGATGTGTGAATTTAACACCTGAAGGTGTGAGAAGGGTTGAAACCTCAGAACTCGGCACCCGGGCACACCAAATGGCAGGCAGTTTCTGCTCCTGAATGAACCAAGCATCCAACCCAGAAATGTCTCCCTTCAAAGCACAGGAGAAAAAGAACAGAGACACAAAGAAGTAAAGGGCACCAGATCTCCAGGCCAAGGAAGGGAAAGCACAGTTTCATCCTTTCTAATGGCACTAGAGTCAGATGTCTTGACTGCCAAGCGTAAGAATGAGTTTAAAACTGAACTGCACAATGGGATACAATGAAATGGTTTAGATCAAAAACCATTAAAAGGTATTACTATGTTAGAATGTCTCAGTCAAAGTCTAGTCCTATGTCCACCATATTACTAAATCTGATTCTTTTCTTGAGCTTCAAATAAAACAAAAGTTTTTTAAATATTTTATTTTATCCGTTTTTTTCCCTCGTCAGTTTTATATTGTCTTTCTTTCCTTTCGTTCCTCCACTGCAATATTTTTACTCAAAGCAAAAGACCTCATGGTAAAACATGCTGATGTCGTTTCAATGTAACGTATTTTAAAATTGTCATTATTATATGGAAAGGTAAAACTGTCTGGTCTGGGATAAGCCTCCTGTTTTTCAGGATCCAAACAGTGTCTTTGGTACAGAGCGTGTGCCTCAGTTTTAAATATTACAGACTTTGTTACAATTCTATTTTGTCTCCTTAGCAACTCCACAGAAAAGCAAGAGTCTGAGCAGCTTGCTGTGAGAACAGCAGAAAAGCTTCTCAAGGAGATAAAGCCTCAGACGCCGGGCGGACACGTACAGCTCCGCATCCTGGAGAACTACTGCTTGCTGTCTACTAAACAGAAGGCCAATGTAGAGAAAGCCCTCTGTGTTTTCACAGAGATTGCAAACAATGAGGTAAGTAAACTCCAGATGGTGCACGACATTATTCCTTCTTGTGTAAGTATACCCACAGTAGTGGCTTTCCATTTTTCAGGCCATCTCTTTATATGGTTGAGTGACATTTAGTTATATTTTTTATCAACCTTAGTTTTTCCTTGTCTTATTATGAACCAGGTTAGAGTCGATTTTTGTGCTATAAGCTGTTGGCTAGGGACTCATTCTACCTCTCCTGCTTTCTATTGTGGGATTCAGAAAGACCACGTTCCAGCTTTGTTGGCCATGGCAACAGCATACATGATGCTGAAACAAACTCCTCGAGCCAGGAACCAGCTCAAACGAATAGCCAAGATGAATTGGAACATTGCTGACGCTGACGAGTTTGAGAAGAGCTGGCTGCTCCTGGCAGATATATACATCCACTCAGGGAAGTATGACATGGCCGCAGACCTTCTAAAAAGATGTCTCAATCATAACAAGGTGGGCTTGAACATGTTGTCACTCTTTAAATAAGGCATTAGTTCAGCATTCTCCGCACATGTTTTGTCTGACACAACTTTTAATCTAAAAATGTACGTTTGTCCAGTCATGCTGCAAAGCGTATGAGTATCAGGGCTACATAATGGAAAAAGACCAGGCGTTCCGCGATGCAGCTCTTAACTATGAAATGGCTTGGAAATATGGAAATCAGAAAAATCCAGCTATTGGTATGTCAAGCAAAATCAGATGTGAAGTTCTACCCACATGAGTTAAGGGAAAATTGCATTTATAACATCAAATGTCTGTGTTTCATTTAGGATATAAACTTGCTTTTAACTACTTGAAAGCAAAGAGGTACGTTGAGGCCATAGATGTGTGTCATAAGGTGAGGCTTCTGAAAATAAATGATCACAGTCTGTTGTCTTTGTTGTGGTTTTATGCTTTAACACAACTGCATTTCTGTCTACAGGTTCTCGCTGCTCATCCAGATTATCCAAAAATGAGGAAGGAAATCCTGGACAAAGCTCGTGCTGCCTTGAGATCATAGAGTTGCATGTTTTTGCATGTGTGCCTGAGAAATATTGTGAGAGAGTTGCTTATTGTGTTAAAATGAAAATGTAGTTATTTTTCTCATGCCTTTGAGCAGACCCTCAAACACATGGTTTTATAGATTTTTCTGAGCACATGAAAAGTTGGTTTCTGACAGTTTAAAGAGAAAACAGAGCAGAGACTTTGGGGAATATGCACAGCCGAAAGCTTCTAGCAATTTAATGGCTATATAAATGTTTTTGCAGATTGAAATAGTAATCTTAGAAACATTTACATTTTACTAGTCCATACTGACCCTCTGCTTTCCAGAGGTATTTGCAGTGTGTTTGTCAAAGGTACTATCCAGTTATATGTTTTTGTTCTATAAACAAATGTAAACTGACAGTGAGAACATCTGGTTAATAAAGCATACATTTTCACTGTTGGATTTTATGCAAAACAAAGTTTTTTTTTTTTTTTTTTTCAAAAAAATGCATTACTAAATTAAAAAAGCTAATTCTGTTTTTTGGGTCGATCACTTTGCAAGGACCAGGCATATATGTCTTCTTACAGTTGTGCTATTAGTTTTTATTCCTTGATTAATTTATGGATATTTCACTGTAGTTTGAGTCAGAAGACTGAGGTGGCTGGCCTGGAAGCACAGGCTGGCCTTGTGCTTTGGATTATTGTTGTGTTGAACATGGAAGGATGTCCAGTGAGGAATAAAAGCACAATGCCATCTCACATTTGCCAAAAAGACATCTTCAATACCCACAAGACTTTTGGGAAAATATTCCCTGGATTTGTGAGACAAAAATGAAACTACCTTTGGTGTGTGTCCAAACTGAGTGTAAGACTTAGAGTAGTGTTGCATGTTTTAGGCGTTTCCTGTCTTCAGCCCAGGCAATTTCAATTGACAAGTGTATTCTGAACTGCAATCAGCTGAGTCAGGTGTTGTAAAGCAGGGAAACATCTTAAACATAAAGGGAGTATGCCTTGAGGACCAGGGTTGGGAAGTAGTGATGTAGTGCAATACCTACCTTCAAAAACGGTAGTGTTGCTGAGATGGTCTGGGCTGCTTTACTACTTCAGGATCTGAACAACTTGCTGTGATTGTTGGTGTCATGAACTGTGCTCCTGAAGTATAATGTCCAGCCATCAGTGTGCAGCCTGAAGCTCAATCATATTTTGATTGTGCAGCAAAGCAAATATCCAACAAACAACAGCAAGTCAATCTCTATATTCCTTAAACAAGTAAAATTAATCTAGCCAGACTGACATAGACCCTAACGTATTAGTTTCTGTGTAATATGCCTAATATGCTATCCACACTGAAAGACCCACAATATTACTGAAAATAAATAATTCAGCAAGAGTGACCCAAAATTTCTCCACTATGATGCAAGGGTCATTACCAGTTATAAAGTCTTAATACAGTTGTAGCAACTAAGGGTGTTTTATGGAGCAATTACTTTTTCCTAGCAGGTCAGGATTGTGTTTTACTAAATAATGTGATCATCCTTGCAAAACTGCATTGTGTATCCTTTTTGTAGAATGTTGAAATTGAGAATTTGAGACATTTATCTATGGAAAAAAGTAATTGAAAGAAAAACAAAATCTGTCAAGGGGATATGATTTGTTAAAGCACTTTCAGTTCTTTCATATAAACCTGATAATCTGTTATGTTTTTTGTTGTTTGTTTTTACATGCCACTCCAAGACTATTGATCCCCAAACTGGACATCCTTCACAAAACTTTCTGAAGGCCCCCCACGGTGATTGATAGCTGAACTTTTAATTGTTTTATGGGTGGAAATATATTTCAGAAGAATCCTTTTGAAACATAGTTGTAGTTTTTGTTACATCATTCTTTTTCTTTCTTTTTTCTTTTCTTTTTTTTTTCTTTTATGAACCTCCTAAACGATGATGAACATACGGCATCTACAGACGTGACCCGCAGGACACAGTCAGCATTTTAATGGACATAATATATTGGCTTCCTGCCACGGGAAGCGATGGGGGGGGCACAGTCCGCACAGATGGAGTCACTGAAAGACAGACTCCAAATTGGGCACCAGGGGAGGCTCAGCTCGGCTGGAGCCCGTTTCTCTGCTCCCTCTATCCTCCAAATCGTTTTGAGCTTTATCCTTGGGACATTTCAGAGATTAGACAAGCGGTGAGTGTCAGCTTTCATCACTTCTATCAGGAAAAAAATAAATAAATAGTAATACTAAAGCCGCTCACATGCTGGATGATTTTTTGTAACTTCAATGATTCGTGTCGGATCATTTTCTGCTTATTAGTTTCTTCATCGACTCTGAAGTTTTAAGCTCTACGGGCAGGATGTGGTGCTTCCCAGTAGCGTGATTGGACGGGGTGGGGTATACGGCGTTCCTCCGTTATTTGTAACCCAGCAACTGCCCCAGTGAATGACCAGTTGAACGAATCCTATTAATGACGCGGCTCCAGCCTCTCCGCAGCTCCGATGGAAGCATTCTGGTTTCGCTTTGGCTCAGCCACAGGTTTGTCCCTGTCGTCTACGCATTTGACTGAAATTCAACAATTAGCTTCAAAAAATGTAAAAAGAAGAAGGCTCTTGTTTGGATAAGTTTTCTCTTTTTGTACCTTATATGGATTCTGACCATTATTTTGACATGCAGAGGTCCGGTGTGCGCACGCGCACCGCTGTGCCACCGCCTTCTACCTGAGAGGAGCACACCTGGAACCAACGAGACGGAAGTTTGTTGAAATCAGAGAGAAGATTATTGTCTTTTTGAAAACTGTACTTATCTTTTTTGTTGTTGTTGTGGGTATCAAAGCAGCAACAGATGATCTCCGGTTAGAGCAGGATGCCATATCCGTGGATTTTTAAAACTTCGTTAATGAACTGCCAAGCGTAAGCTTCAGTTCAGCGACTTGTGGTACGTGTTGTTTTGTTTGAAGGAATGCGAAATCACTTGTCATTTTGATACAGATATTTGAGACGCTTCCGACTAAGAATTTAGAGATACCTGTTCCATTTTAACCATGTGTGGTCAATGTTTTGGAGGTAATTAAGTTATGTTTTTATATACACGTTCAGTTGAACTGAAACTGATTTTACGCTGTTAAAAAAAACTTGGAATCAAATGAGTAAAATTGGTGTAGCAATTTGCATACATTATCTATGGATGGACGTTTCTTCTGCTTTAAATTAAATATAATTTTAGAGCTCAAACTAAGTTAAATTCTAACTAGTATATTGTATAAGAAATCGGATAAATTCCAAATAATTGGAGGTGTCACCTTCTTGATAAAACGACAGGGAAGAGCAAAGGCAGTGTTTTTTTGTGTTTTTTTTTTTTCTTAAAATATAATTGAATAGTAGGCTATTATGTTTAACATTCAATCCCACCAAGGCTAGCATGTAACCTTCCCTGCCACAGCATGTGCCATTCATTTTGACCTTTGTACTGTCCCTAAATTATTGTGATTAGGCTATGAAGTCATGTTTAAATTATGTCTTAAAAAGTAAATGGCTTGTACAGTTGAGGCCAAAATTATTTATGCCTCTGGCAGATTTGGATTTAAACTAATCATTTTATATTTTCAACACATAACTTATGACTAAAAATGATATTAGCTAAAAAAAACACACACACACAATCATACCCCCAAATGTGGCGGTATGATCGATTTTGGGTTTGAGTGTAAAGGTGTGATGATGCATCAAAATCATGACGTGAGAATCCAACCTCACCTACCCAAATAGAGTTAAAATATAATGAAATGTGTGTTCTTTCTATGGTGTTCTTAATCCCAAAAAGTATTCAATAATCCCCCTTTTATGTCGTTATTAATGTTATGTCATTATGTATGAATAATAAAAAAATAAACTTTGACAATAACTTTCCATTGTAGGATTAATGTCCAAGATTACAAAATTCAGTACAATCTCAGAATACAAACACATTTTGAAATAACACTGCAATGTACCACCAATACATAGTAAATAATGTGTAATTTGCATCTAATGGTTACTGCTACAGGATTATTCTCTCTTATATTAAACGCTGCATTTACTTTGGTAATGTTTGAGTATGTGTGTTTATTACAGCTGGATCTTAATCCACAACCAGCCACAGCCAAGAAAGAAGAATGACTGTTTTTCGAAGAGTTCTCCGAAGACCTCTGCACCCACTTAAACTGGTCATAGTGACCTTAGTGTTTGTCACATTTCTGTTTTTTATACAATGGGAAGTGGGGGCACAAAGCCAACAGGAGGATCCCTGGCTGAAGGAGATGGCGGTGAAGCGTGACAGCATGCTGGGAATGGTCATAGGGGCCGTCAATAACTTCAAGCATGCAATGCCAAAGATGCAGATCAAAGCCCCCGTACGGCAGCAGGATAAACCAGGGGGAGCCTCCTGCCTGCCGGGTCACTACACTGCTGCTGAGCTCAGGCCGGCTCTTGAGAGGCCTCCACAGAACCCTCTCTCTCCTGGAGCTGCTGGGAAACCTTTCCACACAGATTCGCTCAGTCCCGAAGAACAGAAGGAGAAGGAGAGGGGTGAAGAAAAGCACTGCTTCAACGTTTATGCAAGCGATCGCGTCTCCTTGAGCCGAGACCTGGGCGCAGACACAAGACCACCAGAGTATGTGGACATCTTTATAAACTTTTTATGTAGACGCAGTAATCCAACCCTACTGTCAAATAAATTACTTCTATTTGCTCTTAGTAGCAGAGGAAAATGGAAAATGTCTGGCTGAAACCACTAAGATATGTACTCTTAGTCAACACAGCATGCAGAAATCCATGCATGCCATGATGTGGCTGAGTTCAGATGAAAGTTGAAATCTAAGTACTTGATTGTAGTTACCACATATCACAGGCAGAATCGTCATCCATCTGAATTGCTAAACGGGTTGCATGTATTTGAACTACTGAGCAACATCTCCCCCATTCCAGCTTAAAGGTTGACATATGCAGCTTAAGGAGACTGGCAACGTCCCACAGATGTAGTGACCACAGTCTCTTAAGACTTTCAGGATAGTCACATCTTTTTTTTCCCCATTGTCCTCCTTCTTGCAGATGCATTGAGCAAACCTTTAAGCGCTGTCCCCCCTTGCCGACTACCAGTGTGATTATTGTGTTTCACAACGAGGCGTGGAGCACTCTGCTGAGGACGGTTTACAGTGTCCTCCACACTTCCCCTGCAATTCTCCTGAAGGAGATCATCCTAGTGGACGACGCCAGTGTGGATGGTAAAAAAATTTAATGGCACCTTTTAAAGACCGCTCTGCTGAGCTTTTGGGTTCATTACAGGCAGCATGCTGGGTGGGCAGCTCACAGGGGAGCACAATACTCCTTCTGTGGTTTTGATGTGGCTAACAAAGGAACTCAAAAGGCTGTTAGTGAATACTTTCTAAGGATTTAGCAGTATCTAGCCTCAGAAGAGATACAACAATATTGGTCAGATGTATTACAAAACTAGCATACTGGGAAGTCTTATCTAAGAAGTACATAAATGAACTTGTTATGCCATTTAAAGTCAATATATGAGGCCGTCTATTTCCAATATCCATTTTCTGTGAAGGACTCTAGTGTCTATGCCAATTTTTGCCAATTTTGATTTCTTTTCAAAAACCTTTTTAGCAGTTTTCTTGCGAAGAGTGGTTTACATATTTGCCCCTTTCACAATTTAATTAGTAATTGGATTGGAATTACTAACTTTAGACAACAGTCTCTTTGTTTTCCAGGAAATGTAAACTCTTATCTTAATGGTGACATTTAGAGTATACTAATATTTACAAATCCAGCATACTTCACGACTGACAGAGGTTGTAAGCTAAAAGTGTTTAAACAGAGCAACCTAGCTGTGATATGTTTATCCTTCCTGGTATAAACTGTAAGTCTTCCCATCATTTTCTATCTTGTAGTCAGCTTTTACTCAATTCAATGCTGTGCCCTTTTGACAAAATGTTCCAGACCATGTATAAATTGATTTAATGTGGCAGAAATAAAAAAATGGCTGGGAGTAAAATGATCAGCACCAACCACTTTCTGACTTTGAGCACTAATCATGAAAATACATCGCTATAAATGTTGTTCCTGCAGTAGCAACCTTCACGTTGAAGATTGCTGTAGTTACCGTGTTGTGGTAGTGCTTAGATATATGGTGTATTGACAATTTGTAAAAAAAAATATGGAAGATTTTTGAGTATTGGTGAAGCTGAACAGTCCTCTGATCTTAGTCACCAGACCATTTTACTGTTCATTTCTATTTCTGGTAATTATTTTGAACTTCACAGAAACAATTAATTTCTCATTCTCTGCATCTGTTTTTGGTATCCCAGTTTTCAACAGACTCTTTCAGTTACAATCTTACATTTTCAGATGTATTGAAGGATGACCTGGATGAGTATTTGAAGCAGCTGAACATTGTCCGAGTCGTCCGGCAGCGAGAAAGGAAAGGACTCATAACCGCTCGTCTGCTGGGTGCCTCCGTGGCCACCGGTGACACCCTCACCTTTCTCGACGCCCATTGTTAGTCAGAACCACTCACGTCACCAAACACTTAAACTATTTTACACACGCCCTTAGTTATGCACTGTTTATAAAATGTTTGTGATTGTAGCGATGAATAGTAATAGAACTGTGACGGGCTGTCTTCTCCATACATGTATTAACAGGTGAGTGTTTCCATGGATGGCTGGAACCTCTGCTTGCAAGGATTGCTGAGAACTACACCGCCGTTGTGAGTCCTGACATAACAACTATTGACCTCAATACATTTGAGTTCATGAAACCTTCCCCATATGGTCAGCACCACAATCGTGGGAACTTTGACTGGGGTCTCTCTTTCGGCTGGGAGACTTTACCCGATCATGAGAAGCAGAGGAGAAAGGATGAAACATATCCCATAAAGTAAATACAATGTTTGACTCAATGGAAAGTGTGACCACTGTGTTAATATTTAACCTCCTGTAATAAAATTCTTGTACGTTATAGGACTCCCACGTTTGCTGGTGGACTCTTTTCAATCTCTAAAGAATATTTTTACCATATTGGCAGCTATGATGAAAAAATGGAAATCTGGGGTGCTGAAAATATTGAGATGTCATTTAGGGTAAGATGTCACTTTGGTGTCATTTTCAACATCAGCTTTCTTATTTATAAGTGCCTTTCAGCCTAGGAGTTTTTCCAGTTTCCAGAAAGTGTCTCGGGTGTGTCTTAACTCTGCATCTGTTTCTGCTGGCTTCCATTAACTTGCAGGTGTGGCAGTGTGGTGGACAGCTGGAGATCATCCCATGTTCTGTTGTTGGTCATGTTTTCCGGACCAAAAGTCCACATACGTTCCCCAAGGGCACGCAGGTGATTGCTCGGAATCAGGTACGACTAGCTGAGGTCTGGATGGACGAATATAAGGAGATCTTTTACCGTCGTAACCAGCAAGCTGCACAAATGGCTAAGAATGTAAGTGCCAGTTTTGCTGTTGATATACTTCTGAAATTATGTCAACTAAACATACTTATCTCGAAGGAGTAGCAAATTGGTCCTGAGGCTGTGTCTTGTGTTTCCACCACTTATGGATGTGTATGAGTGTTTTCAAGACCACTTATTATCACCCTCTTTAGACAAGCTTGAGCAAATCCCAGCTCCTGTCCTTGAAATGCTTACAAAAAGCCTCAGATCTGATTATAAGTTACTTAAGATACTCTCACAGGGCAAAGCATGTTCTCTCCTGGAGAAAAGTTTAGGAGTTTAATTTTCTATACAGATTATTTTAACACACACACAAATGCTTTCTTTAGCATCTCGTACCGATGCTATCAAAAGAACATCGGTACTACTTCATGACATACTCGTAGTGCTGGTTAACGTGCTCTTGAAGGGGTCATAAACATTTCTCTAAGGGCTTTACTTCACACAAAGAGGTCAAGCCAGTCCTGCAGATTTCAAACAGATATGCTGTTGTCCACAACCTCCTAGGGACCAGTGTGCTAAACACTCTTCACTGTATTAATAAAGAGCTCTTGTTATTATTTCCCTTTCACCCCTTTTCCGTTCATTTAGTTTTAAACAGGACTACAATACAGGTAGTAGTTTTGTAATGGACCAACATTATGTATTTAAGTTTAAATACAATTTCAGGCCACATATTTTTAGATTTTATTTTTATCTGTAAGCATTATTACCATCAAGTTCAAAAAGATTAACAATCACTCAGAAGGCATCCAAATTTTCTTTTATTGCTGTTGTGCCACATGTTTTTATTTTACCCATATTATTATTGGTGGTTCAGAGTGTTACTTTGTTACCGGATTCCAAACATGTGGCTTCCATCAAGTTGAAAATCATTCCTCAAAACAATGCAAGTTTCAGTTTCCAAATGTCTAAATAAATGTATTGAAGTATGCCCATATGCACCCATTATAGTTTTGTTTTGCATTTTTCACTCTTACGATTTTGAGAAATAAATGTTTTTGCATGTCTTTGAAAACAAAGTCTGTAGTTTGTTACTAGGGTGTAACTAATTTTCCAAGAGAGTGACTCTTTTTTTTTTTATCTTCCCTTCACACCACAGCACAGCTGTGCAAATGTTATTATCCAATTAAGAGGTTGCAGACTTAAAAATCTAAAATGTCTTAATCACTTTAAGTGAACATACCACAGTTTTTCGTTGAGGTAGGTCAGAGATGAATACATTTTCCCTTGTTTATGACAGGTCTAATATTAAAGTCTTGTATTTCTTCAATGCATATGAACTTAGACAATTTTTTTAATCTTAAAATGCATCAACAAACAGCATGTAATCTGATGCCTTTTTTTAGGGACACATTCTTTGATGCATAAAATCAGTTCAATTTTATTTTGAATTCTACTTTTATCAAGCTATGTTTAATACAATGTAGTTCTTGTAGTTTTATAATTTTCAGGTCAGATCTAAGTGGAAACAGTCAATGTCTTTCAGGAAATGGCTGATTGGTGTATCCCTAATTTTTTAGTAATATACATAAAATCATTTATTTAGTTTTCCAATTATTTCAAATCTCTGTACTGATGAGACATATGTCCTTTAAATGCTGAAATCTTTAGCTACCCTCTAACAACATTTGTTTTTTTATCTTTATGATAGAGAAATTTTGGAGATATTTCCAAACGTGTGGACCTCCGGGAGCAACTGCAGTGCAAAAGTTTCTCGTGGTATTTGAACAACGTTTATCCAGAAGTTTTTATGCCTGATCTAAACCCAGTCTTCTTTGGCTCGGTAAGATCAAATTCTACCACCAGTTCTCATTTCAGACCCCATAGCTCTGTCTAGCCACTGTGAGTTTCCTCTTGGGCTTTCTGTTAGGTACAAGTCAGTTCCAATTTAACACCACTAAAAGCACTTCAGAGGGTGAAGTTGTTTGAACAGCTTGTGCTGGATGTTAGTTTTTCGTTTTGTTTCCTCTTGCTCACTCGCACTTTCCAATTTTTTCACTCCTTTTTTTTTCTGTAGGTAAAAAATCTGGGGAAAGACACATGTCTGGATGCTGGAGAGAACAACGAGGGTGGGAAACCGCTGATTATGTACCCATGTCATGGACTAGGTGGAAATCAGGTCAGTAAAAAAAAAAAAAAAAAAAGCACTTTTTATCTGACTTGTCAAAACCACGGTGGGATTTCACCACCTTTTCGAAAATGATTTAATTTTTCAACATTTCCTTCTGCCCCAGTACTTTGAGTATTCCACACGTCACGAAATTAGACACAACATTCAGAAGGAGCTGTGTTTGCATGGGGCAGGGTTGGCTGTGACGCTGGAAGACTGCCAGTACAAAGGCATGAATACATTTGTAGGAACCCAACAAAAATGGGAGCTGAAGGATGTGAGTTTGCTCTTTTCCATCTGTTCAATTTCAGATTCGCTGGTTACCCTTTATGTGTGTAGTCGAGTAGTAATATTATCCCCTCTTTCTTTAGAACCAGTTGCTCTACTTGCCAGGATTGAACATGTGTCTAACTGCCCATCATGAGAATCCATATTTGGCTCCATGCAACCCCTCAGACAAATATCAACTCTGGTCCTTCATCTGAGTCTGCAAACCACTACTTTGCAAATGTCGGCTTGGTATGCATGAAGCATACAAGGACACAAGTATCTCATAATGTATGCAGCTTTTTTTTTTAGATTACAAACTACATCAAATTTTTATTTATTTTTTATACTAAAAAGGACTAAACTTTGCTGTTGCTGCTGTTGGAAATTCTAGACTTTGGAAGAATACATCATGTGCCTCTGCTACAAGAATTCATTTAATTGCACATTAGACAAGTGCCTTTTATGTTTTAGATAACTTTACAACCAAAGCAAACACTTGGTTATTAGTTAAAGCTGGCACATACTGCAACAAAATACACTGAGGATATGCATTACAATCTAAACAGTAGAAGTGGTGATAAAGTCCTAATAATGTGATGGACAGAACAAATAGGAAATTTCCCTTTAAAACTATGAAGTGCCTCAGATCTCACTTTGTTTTTCTTTTTTGTTATTAGTCTTTGTACAAAATTGGTAGTGGTTGGGTAATTTTTTGTTGAAAACCATCTGTGGTTCAAGGATTTAAATCACCTTATACAAAATTTCCTTTGTAAGACGTATTTTTATAATGCAAGAGATTGTAAAAGGCCCATTTGTTTTGTTAAGAGAATGTGTGAAGACGTTTAAATATCAAAAGACAAAATTTATAGTTACTGCAAAGTAAACATGAGTAGTAAAGCATCATGAGTGATAGAGATTTATTTTTGAAATCACCTAAATATGTCTATTATTTCTGGGTTTATGCTTTGGTGTTTATGAAGGGGATCTCTCAGTTTAGCATAAGAAACTCCACTTAATAATTAAATGCATCTGCTGGAGTGAACCTATGAATTTCTGGTGCAGGCACTAGTGTTTTGAGGGCTGTGAATGTTGCGTTGGGGCTTCGGATTGAACGTGGTGACTTTTCTGAAATGGCAAATGTTTTGTGTCCAATGTACTGAAGTCTGAAGATGTGATTATGAGACAAATAAATTCTGTTGGGTAAAGCAAGCTTCACTCATGCTTCCCTTCTGTGGACAGCAGAGGGCACTTTTGCACCTACAAATGGCAAGCTTCTACAGTACAGACAATGCATTGAAAATGTTTCATAACATCAGATTTTATGAAATGAATTTGAAAACATGTCAAAATACAACTACTGAAAGTTATGTAGGCTTTATGTACAGTTAAAAACATAACTTGGAAAAACAAAATGGACCATTGTGTGCAAATCCTATGCATTTCACCAAATATGAAACAGAATTAAAGAAACCAGGCACATGAAAGCATTACAATTCACCTAAACTTGCATGAAAGAAAAGACAATCTTAACATATCAAGTTACTTAATACAGACTTTTAGTAAACCACAATAAATACACATTTCATTTTACTATTTGTAATAAACACTGAAAATTAAAACACAGTAATCCTAAGTGGGTGCAACACCTTTAAGAACCTTCCCACACTGTACACTTTGGCTCAATTTCTATGTATTATAGGCTTGTGTTGATGTTCGGGGACTTTCTGGAAATTCCCATCTAATGAACAAATGTGTTAAACTCAGTAAATTTAAATGCATATTTAAGCTTGGAAATGAAGCATATTCTTGTATTTATGCATGAGCAACATGTTAATGGGCTTCATTTGAGCTTTTCCATAATATCTTAGAATTCTACTGAATGTTGAGAACTTCAGTTCCATTCTGTCAATGTTGACAAATGCCACTATTTACACATTGTAAATGACCAGGCTTTATGGCTAAAATGATTCAATAGTTCAACTTATAATGCTCATAAGATCAATCCTATTTAAAATTAGACTTTGATTGTCAACTCTGTGTAACTATTTACCCGAAGAACAAATCTGAATTCTGCAAAGCAACTGTAAAAGAAAAGATTATTCTATTCCAACATAAAAAAAACAACTTCCTCTTTAAACTGTAAAGTGTTATTTAATCATTTTATATCAGCTTTTCCTTTTATATTTAAAGCAGATAAACACTGACTCAGGAAGACTTTCACTAATGACTGTAGCATTTGTAGACAGAAAAGGAAGTGTTTCTCAACTAAAAGAATTCTTTTGAATGTACTAAATGGATGTATGGACCCTTGGTAGAGGCAGCGGGAAAATGATAGAATGTACTCTTTTTTTTTTTTTATTTTGGAAGATCATCGATGTAGAAAATGTGGGCGAGCTCCATGGAACAGAATACTCCACACCTGCCAAAAAGTCTTTTTTTCTTTTTCTTTTTTTGGAAATGGGATCCCCGGACACTGAAACAACATGGAAATATTTTTTTAAGGAAAGGAACAACCACAAAAAGAAGTTGCCATGATTATGACCTCTAACTCAAGAAAGGAATCAACAGCCAGACTAAGGTGACTCAGTTGTTGAGAAAAGGGCTTTGCAGAGGAGAGGATGTGTCTGCATTCCATATGTAATATTGTAATATTGTTGCTCTTCTGCACCTTTTGGCATAGCTTTTGCCTGCTTGTGCTCCCTTGATTTTGCACATGAACAATGTTTACTATTGTAATCTACAAGCTAGAACCAAAGGTACACAATGGTATATGCCCTTTAAAAAGTTTCTGTTATCTTCAAGGAATCAAATGTTTTCTGGATTATTTAAAAATGAACCAAAACTATACTTGCTGTATCTGTTAATTGTGTATGCAATTTTAGTATATAATTGTTTTAAACAAGATTTGGTCATTAACAACCAAAGACGTGCCACTGGACCCCAAATAGACTAAGTGCAAAAATCATCAAAATGACCTGGCAGGTCACTTGAATTTAAGTGAATTCTGAAATCTGATGATTTTGAAGACATAAAAGAAGATAACTGTACAGAATTAATACAACTTGTTTTGTAAATGCAGGAAATTTTTCAATGAGTTCCAAATGGCATGCATATTTTTTACGAAAACATTTACAATATATATAAGGACACACTTACAATTTAGTCACAATAAATAAAACTGACAATTTTTTTTGCACATACAGCAGACAGAAGTTCAATCTACAGTACAATATTTGCTTGAAACTAGAACTTGAGTTCTGCAAATACAAGGTACATTGCACAGTTTGACATTAGTTGTGTTTGTATTTTTTATATCGTCTCTTGTGTTTTGGAGTTGAGCACGAACACTGTAATGGAGAAACCTGCATTTGTCAACAGTACCACAAAAGTGTTTCCCTCACAAACTTATGGCTTAAGAGTTACGGATGAAAAATGTAGTATTACTTTGTAAATTGCTCTGAAAGTAGTTTTCAAAAAAGGCAATGAAGATGTTCCAGAAAAGTATACCATAGCTGAGTTCATGTGAGGATGTAATAATTAAAAGCTTGAGGCCTTTTAATTGGCTGTGACCTCAGGGCAATGGTCTGGTAAAGGGAGTTTCGTAGTTTTGTTTGATAGTAAGGTTACATCAGGATGTTCATTAGCACTTGATTCTTGGGGTGGCTGTTCTGCTGCCATACTGATGATGCTGTTACTACTGTAGGACTCCTGGCTGTTGTTGTTAAGGTAGTTTTGAAACTCTGTCTGGTTCTGGTTCTCACGTTGCTCCACAAACATGGCCTTGGACAGTACCTTGGTGTTTTGGTCAGATGCGTAGCAGCACAAAGTGGCAGCCGGACCACCCCCATTCAGATTACGGTGGTGACTGGTTGTGTACTCCTCCTCCGTATGATTAGAGTAGCCAGTGAATTCCCCAGAGGTCACGCTGAACGGTCCTTGGGCCAAATTGCCATTGGTTGTGCTGACTGGTTCTGGGAATGCTAATGTCTCCCTGTAGGACTCACTGGGCCGACTGGCATGGACATTCGAGTCAGCACTGGAGCTCCCCAGCTGATAGTAGTCAGCAGAGGAAGAGTTCATGATGTAAGGGTTTCCATTTATAAGGTTATCATGACCCACGGAGCCGTCAGTGTAGCACATCACAGAGGACATTGGCACCACATCAGTGTGAGAAACTGCTAGAGGCGTTATGTCAGCCTCATAATTCTCAGACTTCCCTGCAGGTCCCTCCTCGTCCTCTGAGTCGCTATTTGCAAAGCTTTGTGTGCTGGAATCAGACAACCCACTACATATGCTGCTGCTGTCCTCGTCTTCCTCATCATCTTCGTTCTCTTCCTCCTCCTCCTCTTCCTCTTCTTCCTCATCCTCCTCGTCTTCATCATCCAGAGGCTCCTCCATCTCCTCTGCAGAGTGCAGGTGCATTGCAGCCGTCTGCGGGACAGCATCAGACAAAGAATACTCCAACCTGTGTTGCGACTGCGTGAACAGGTTCCCGTTCCCCATGTCGTTGGTTTCCCCGCAGTAACCGTTGGTCTGGGGGGTTTGCTGCTGTTCGCGGCTCTTCTCCAGCTCCAGCTTCATGATGGTGTGCAGGAAATGGGTTCGAACGCGGATAGGATTAAACTCTACTCTTCCAGTTGAATTGCTGCAACCTTCTTTTGTGCAGCCGCATGGAAATGACATTCGATCCACCTGGGAAAAAAACAACACCCTGTGATGCATGACTTCTCTTAAATGATTTTTCTGTCCTTTAATGTTTTGTCATCAGTCAATGCATTTCTCTCTAAATAGACAGAACCCTTCACAAAAAGAATTTATTTTATATTGTTGTTTAGTGCACTAGCATAATCTCTCACTGAAAAATTAGGAAAAACTCAATCTTAAATTTAAATTGATTCAGTGGGAAGGTTGACCTACATTACGTAACAGCTGCTTTCAAAACCACAGTTGCCTTTGTCCCATTTTTTGACAGGACAGGACCAAATCTACACTTTGGTCAATCATTTGCATTATCTCTCATTTGTCCAGAATCCTGGATTTTGACTCTTCTTTAAGCCTTTCCCAAAGGGAGGTTTTGGGAAGAGAATTGATTTTGTGCCTGGCAAACAATCTTTCCGTTTGTTTGGTCATATACTTCGAATCATTATCAAATTGAAAGATCAATGGAAACTTGTTTTTTGTTATTTGGAAAAGCCATTTCTGATTCCTTTGAATCTTTGAATAAGAAATGGATCCACAGATCTTTCACCATTACCCTTTATTGCCATTGTTGGTCAGCAACATTGGGTTGTTTCACCAGAAAATAGCAAGGGAATATTTTCTAATGCCTGTCTTGTTTTCTACATATTTAGCTCATATTCCACCTGTATTTTTTGTAATCGTGTTTTCAGGATTGGGTGTAATCCTGAAAACAAAATTTTAAGATTGGCTCCACTTAAAATCCCAGAAGAATTCAGCCAACTTAACATTTGTAAGGGTAGGTTGGAAAAGGTTTTTGATAAACACATCTAGTGGTATTTATGAATGCTTAATAAAATTATAACTTGCTTCTACAATTCTTTAAGTGAGCCATCAGAATTTTATTCATCACATACCATCTTTACTATTTGAGAAGAGAAGATGAAATTATGTCCTGGTCCAGCTCCATTTGCTCTTTTTTTTACTTTTTATTTATTGATCAGGCTTAACATATGGGCAAGTTAAGGCATAAGCTTCAGTGTTAATTTTCCAACTTATGAAAGTCAACATACCTGCCTTGTTTTCTTTCTGATTTTGTAGAATGGAAATTCTAAATGGACACATCGTATTTATGTCAGAGGCAAAATAAAGTCATGAGTTACTTGTGAAAGCTTTTTAATCCTCATATCAGCTTTAAAATAACTGTGACATGGGGGAGTTTAAATGTCTCAAAGTTGATTTTTCACCCTATTAAATGCATTTGATCAAATTAAAAAGTTTAACTTTTCTAAATCTTTCACTGTGAGAGTATGCTACTGCAATAAAAAACTCAATAATTTTAAGAATTTTTACATGCTTACAGAGTCTGTCAATAAATGTGTAAAATATGTATTTTGTGGAATTTACCTGACACTTGATCCCTGCAATGCTGCAAGCACACGTCTCGGGGTCACAGAAAAGCCTGCAGTCGCAGCCACAGTCTTCTCTGGACATGCGAATGGCTCTAAGTTCATGCTTCTCATCCACA